ACGTTTATATGGAAAAAAGTGCATAAATCATTCAAAATCAGTGTGATTTTTTAGCCGCGCATTTGCTGCAAGAGCGTCATAATCTAAAAAAATTAATAATTGAGTTAAATACGCAAAAACGAACAGTACCTGTTCTTCTATGTTATGCAAAAATTTTATTTTTTTATTTATACCGATTATCAGGAGCTCACGAGAATAAAATATGTACTCATTTGTACTATGTTAGTATATCGAACCCTAACCGTCAAAAAGATGTAAGAAAAATTTAAAAAAAAAAATTGTTTTTGGTACAGATATATTCCTAGAGCATTTAGATGCATTTCTGCATCAAAAATAAAATTGTGAATATAAATATTTCACTTACATCTTTTTGGCGTTTAGGACTCGATATGTAAATTCAAAACTTTAAAGCTGGGTTTTTCCAGTTTTTGATTTTTTGGAGTATGACACTCGTACAGCAAATGTGCAATATGTAGTTTTGGTTGAAGCATGAAGAATGTTGTAAGAACAAAATAACAAATAAAAAAAATAGCTTGAAAGACAGTGTAAATATTAAAAAAACACCTCTCATCCAGTTCCGGTGTAATTTAGCGACTACATTTAATGCAGCGAAACGGCAATAAGTTTTATATATAGATAACTACAAGTCGTTAGTATAGTATGGAAAGGGCGGAATTCACATCGACGCTGAAATACAAAAAGCCGTAACTAACTAAAAATACAAAATTCACTTTTTGATTAATTATGATGCTTGTCATCGAATTATAAGTGCCCACATCGTTTTATGGATTAAAAAATTTTAGTTAGTTGTGACTTCTGCATTTCAGCGACCATGTGGGATACGTCCTTTCCATACTATAGCAACGAAGTAAATTTTTATTTTTTTTCATATTTCATTTAATCATCGTCTCGGCCTAAAGTCCACCTTGTTTACATACAATCATTACCATTTCAATGTAAAAAAAAACAGATTATCTAAGCCTGTACTTATTATCACAATTTTTTCCTCTTTGCAGCTATCGATGGGCCATAGTTTTATGCCTTCTCACCTTCAATTCGAATTTTTGGCTCGTGCTGGAATGCTACATCATCGTATCCCCGAATTGGCAGCCTACCCACATCACGCTATTTTAGGTAAAACACGCCGTCCGCGCACTGCATTCACATCACAACAGCTGCTCGAGCTCGAAAAGCAATTCAAGCAAAACAAATATTTATCCCGCCCAAAACGTTTCGAAGTGGCAAGTGGACTGATGCTTTCCGAAACGCAGGTGAAAATTTGGTTCCAGAATAGGCGCATGAAGTGGAAACGCTCGAAGAAGGCGCAACAAGAGGCGAAGGAACGAGCTAAACAGCAACATCAACAGCAGCAGCAACAACAGAGTGCAAACAACAGCAGTTAGTAGCTGACCGATGCGGTAGTTCTTCGAAATGGGGTGCAGGAGCAGCCTAATTATCCCAAATATCCATCCAAAGGATAAATCACCAACACTGCCCATTGCACCAACAACAACCCCATCAGCTATGGTGCTCGTAATTACAATTCTAGTCAAATATAGGCGTCGGATAGCGAATGTGGAGCATAGCAACGTGTCCGGCAGATTTGTTCTCTCCTTGTGGGATGTTGGTGAGCGATTATTGAAGGGTAGTAGCTGAGGGAGCTCTTGTTTGTACGGCTGCTTCTGGCGCCCATTGTACTTATGGTACGTGCATTGGCACTTGGCGATGCCTTTTGTTTGCTTTGTAATTATGTAGTTCAATTGCGTTAAGATGCGACCATGTGAAAATTAGAAACGAAACTAAACTACATATATACATATGGAAGGAGTTTTTGTTTATGTTCACAGTTAAATATGGAGTAAGTGGCGAAGAAGTTTCTCAAACAAAGTGCGTTTGGAATTCAGTATATTTGTTTCTATGAATTGCTTAGTGAACTCTTTGTTTGCTTTCATTAGCAGAAAATTTCATAGTGTGATACGACAAATTATAGTATTTATTGAAATGAATTATGTATATTATGTAAATGTAAATAAGAGTA